TTAAACTCTTTCACCTGGACACAAGTTATACAGTCTTTACATTTTGTCGAGTAACATTTTAGTGTGAATGCCAGTTATCGTGATGAGCATTCTGTTTACATACAGGCACATGTGTGAGAATGAGAGATGCTAACAGCTCTCTGGCCTCTTCCATCTTTGTTTTCTTGGGGCCTCCCCACATCCGCTGTCTGCGCACTTTATTCCCAAGATACCTCAGGGCCTGAAACAGAGCAGCCAAACAACATTTGATTCAACCTTTTGAGGAACATAAATATTTTTACCAACATGACTAATTTGGGGGTGAGGAAGACAGGAGGAGGACAAGGACACACTGTGGAAGAGAACCTAATGAGCCAACATTTTTCTAATCTTCTATTGTCGAGTTCTAATGACTCTTATGTGAACTGTAGCCTTAGTTTCCTGTTCTTGGCTGACAGTAGGTGTGGTCTTCAGCTGCTGTAGTTCGCAGCACTCATACTCTTCTGGTACCTTAGGTATAAAGAATGGTTATTTGAGTACTGCTACCTACCAGCTTGAAGAAGTTCAAGTCAGCCGCTTGAACTGCGGCTGACTGGATTGTTTCAGATACATACAGATGGTTGTGTGGAGAAATCCCAGCAGATCAGCATTTTCTGAAATACTCAGATCAGCCCATCAGGCACCAGCAACCATGGCATGTTCAAAGGAACTTAAATCAACTTTCATCCCCATTCTGATCCTCAGTTTGAACTTCAGCCAGCCATTCTGAACAAGTCTAAAAACCTAAATTCACTGATTTGTTGCCATATTGTGTTAACAAGCAGTTGAGCAGGTGTTCCTAATAAAGCTGTGTGTATATGTTACATCAACTGTCAGTCAGACAAGGAACGCACCATGAGAATCAGTTAATTTTCCAACCAACAAAAATGTCCAAAACAACAAATATAAATAAATATTAATATAAATTAATGTTACAGTCTCGAGGAGATATTTTGTGCAAAAGATCAACATTCTGAATTTTTAAACAGAGAACGAAGAATCGTGTATCAGACTCTTGGTAGGTCAAGTGAACCACAAAGGGAACAATGTGCACATCACCCACACCTGAGTAAGCGCCCAGCTGGAGTCCTCAACAGAATTATAGCAAAGGTCAAAGGTTAATAAGGATGGACCACCCAACTTGCCCTCAAAACTGCATAAAAAATAAAAATAATTATTGTTAATATTTCTTTAAGGTAAAGGTAAAAAAAAAAAATCTGTTTAATTTAGAGAAATTAAAAAAAAAAGAAATCAGATGTAATCAACAGTGTCCGGATTCAAAAAAAGAAAAGAAGATGACAGTCAAATTTGGTTTTGCCAGATTATTTATCATAATCTGATAACAATGTTTCTTAAGCCTTATCTGCCTTTAATTATATAGATTTAGGCCTCATTGTGCACAATACAATGACCCAATGAATACCATGAAAAGACATCACGGAGGCTGGCAGACAGAGGAACACGAGAGCTGTGGCGACCGGTTGCTAGGAAGCAAATGTGGACTCATCAATGCATCAGCGGTTCCTCTAACAACATAATCTTTATGAAAAACAAATTGGCCGATTGCATTCATCTGTCGATGTCAAAGAAAAACACGTGGGCCTCATGAAATCCCCATGAAAAGCATTACTTAACTGGCTGGTAAGACAAAACCTTCGTCATCTGATCTCAAAGAGACAAAGAAAATACCTTCTGACAGCAGACAGCCAATAGAAACAGAAACAACATCCTGCTCTGCACACATCCGCAGCTAATGATCGCACATTAGAGATGCCAAGCAATTCACACCGACTTTTACGTGCTCTCACCCAAAAATTATTATTTTTTAAACAGTTTTTTGAATCAGGATTTCATTCACTTGAGCACGAGGAACATTTCTGTTTAATAAACAGTCAGAAAATTAACTTCCACTCTAGATGTGCATGAACAGTTTATTTTTATTGTGTGATTTTAACTTGTCACATCTGTAAATATGAAGGTGGGGAGCTTATTTACAAAAACGAGCCGGGAACAAACAACAGGCTGAGGTTCTGGGCTACGTGACCAATTGGTCATCTTTGGTGGTGCTAGGACCATTTCTGTGCTAAGGTTAAGGTGAGAGAATAGTCTACGGTTACAGCATACCTACAGCACAGATTTAACCGAGATGTACATCCCATGCATGTTACGACATCTCTCTTGTTAGTGGTGGTGAAGTTCAAGTCTTATAACCCTTATTACTGTAGTTCTTTTATAGCATAAACATTAGCACTGTACTTTCAGTGCTTTTTAGTGCTCCTTCAGTTTTGTAATATTACTTTTTTCCCTTATATTACCAGTATATTGTCTTTGGAAATCAAAATTCAAAGATAATTAAAGCTTCAATCTAACATCGAGTAAATGGGGCTAAACTGACCAGAGTGTTTGTTTAAGCTTGAAATAACACCGGCCTGCTCTGGCTCTCTTGGATTGATAAAATACCTGAGTCTGTGTGAAGATTTGCGCTTTCTGGCACTCCTCCAGGCTCGGGGCGAAGCTGGCCATGACACTCTCCTCTGTGCCGATCATCTGAACTATCTCCTGGTCACTCTCCACACCCATCCCCTGTGTGGATGACATGTAAACGGTGTGTGTAAAATATTTGTACAACTACAAAAAATAAAAATCTTGTTATATTTACATAAAAGCTTAACCGGGAAGGGGGAGTACATGAGACAGGAGTGTTCACAGGGAGGGGTGAGGTGAGGAGGGAGTCATAATGTTGCCTGACATTTGCTTATGGAAATGTGAAGCTGTGGGAACTGATTCCAGATCGTCTCTGCAGCCGCTGCCAAACAGAGGGAGGGCTGGGGAAGACGTTACCCGGCAAACACGTGCAGTGAAAACACAGCGAGCATGCAGCATCATAAGGTAACATGTTTGAAGAGGTCTCTCCTCAGAGGGCAAAGAAGTTCATGATACCAGCTGTCAGCTAACATTTTCATTCTGAGGTGGTGTAAGAAATGTAATCAGTCGAGCAACTAATGAAACTAGAGTTCTAAAACTATTCACCATCTCATATAAAAACACTTCTCTATATATGTAACTTAAGCTTTGGAACAACTTCAAGCTGTAGCAAAAACAAAGACAGAGAGTTTGGAAACACTCACAAGTCTTTGCTTCAATCTGTAAGGCAATAACATCACAAACATCTTCATCTCTGACCATTTACCTGTGCTATAGCACCACCTACTGGACTTATTTCAGCAGACTCACAAAGAAAAAAAAAAAAATCACCCCTACCTTAAATATGATTGCAATGGGGGCATCCTCTGACAGCGTGTTGTGTCTCAAGTAGAAACGGCCTTGTTTAACAATAATATTAGTTCTGCTTTTCTTTTCATGAGTGGAGCTGGAGAGGACACAAAGAGCAGAGCAAACACGAGCATGTTTAGTGTCATGTTCTTGTTCTTTTGCATGTTCACCTTATAACTGTGTGAGGTCTCTCTGCATACTCAGACTTCCTCCCACAGTCCAAAAACTTAATTAGTGATAATAAACTGGTCAAAGGTGTGAATGGTTTTCTCTGCTGATCTAGGAATCTGAGCAGAGCTCCAACACAACCCCAAATTGGAAAATGAGTCAGAAATTAGATGGATCCACTAATATAAGACTAAAAGCTTAAGCTATACATAGATCTACTTCTTGTATAGGCTTAAAAACAACAACAAAAAACAAAGGTTTACACTTTAACTCCAGCCAACATCTACAGTGATGTATTCTTTTCATTTAGAAGAGTAGAGTTTGCTCCTCCTTTCACAGAGAAGTGCAAAGTTGGACAACCGAGTGCGCAACTGAGCAAGGGTGTAAGGGTCATTCAGTGTCAGGTCATCAAATGTCTCCCACGTGACCATCTGAGATTTGAAATAGGACACTACAGCCAGATAAAACAGTGCTGTTCCTTATTAAAGCTTTAATGTCTATAAAACAATTGCCGTGATTTAAACTTTTATTTTAAATCATACTTAAATAATGCCACGAACCTTGTGTACGAGAATCTGTAAACTAAGTGCCAGTCTGCAGAATCGTGGCCTCCAACATCTGCTATCACAGACAGGACACTCAAATATTTTCTGACCTTTAAGCATCCATCAGTCTATGTTATCATAAGCTACACTCCTGAGATACCAGGGATTTCCCCTAAAACATTCCAAGGATAATGTTGCATAATTCCTAGTAATTAGTGCATCTTTCCCTGGAATTAATTCAAGAAAGACTGATGATCACAGTCCTGGTGGAAATTTTTTCCTTTTAGATTTGATGAACTGGAATGACCACGAATATATCAGAGTTTCACAGGTCTTAAATTAGCAGCTTCACTTTATGGTTTCCACCAAGCACCAGTCACAGCATCCACACTGTTGAGTCGTCTCCACACTTCTGCGCTTCTGGGCAGAATCGCAAAGAAGAAGCCAATAAAAGGAAAAGGTTAAGATGGTCAAACAAGACAGCTACTGAGAAGAAACAGCTGATTTTTTCTTTACATGTCTGCCAAGAAGGCGACTTTAAAGTCATGGATGAACAGCTGCTAATGGATATGTTGTTACCGTACAGTACCTGGTAACTGATGCTCCAACTGCACCCTTCCTGTCCTGCTCCACAATGATTCGGTTCTTGGACAGCTGTTCTTGGATCAGAATGACTTTCTCCTGACCTTTTACAATGAAATAACCCCCTGTGGAGGAAAAAAAAAA